AGTAGGAGTAGGAGGAGTAGGAGTAGGAGTAGGAGTAGGAGTAGGAGTAGGAGTAGGAGTAGGAGGAGGAGGAGGAGGAGGAGCAGGAGTAGTAGTAGTAGTAGTAGTAGTAGTAGCAGCAGTAGTATAGTAGTAGTAGTAGTAGTAGTAGCAGCACCAGCAGCACTAGCAGTAGTAGTGGTAGGGGGAGTAGTCGTAGTAGCATCAGCAGCATAAACCCTAGCGACAGTAGCACTCCAGAAGTAGCAGTAGCAGTAGCAGTAGCGGTAGCAGCAGGAGCAACTTTTATTGTAGCAGCTACAAAGGGCTGCAACCACAGGTACCGGATGTTATTATATGCCACGGCAACAGCAACAACGCACAAACGAAGCATAAGCCCGTGGCAATATGAAAAGCGTAATAAATCACGTCGAACTTTGCAAAAATCATGCTTACAATCGCCTCTACCGGAGACTGGTAGCAATATCGGTCACAATCACAATCAGTCCTCATGATCATCAAATTGTTCACCATCTCACAACCCTCGCTTATATTATATACATCGTGGAATGGACCGCAGTATAAGCGGGGCATGACTGAAAATAGTTTTCGGCGTTGTGGGCACTTTGGATCGAAGGTTCTCGTGGAAGTACAAAGCTTATAAGAAAAAGCAACTGAAGAAAGTGCTCTGAACAAGAGCCCTGACACGGTCCACCCGCGCAATGGTGGCGGGGAGAATCTGAATTTTCTCTGCATTGTCATTGCCAATGACCTGGGCTACCGGTTTATGGTACTTAGGGGTGCAACAGTCTCGTGTAAACGGCTTGATGCGTCTCGGTGTTTAGTACCGGACTGATGCGAGAGCTCGAATGTTATGTTGTCGGACCTCATCTACAGCTCCGTTTTTTCAATGCAATTACTGCGCCTAGCGCGGTTTATGGGCTACAGCTTCCAATGCTATGCTGCCTTGAACGCCGTATAACCATGACAGCAGTGGAAACGAGAATAGCAAACAATTGCTGTGGTAACGACAAGAACAAGGGGGATAATGAGATTATATAGGACCACAGCAAGCCCTATCAAGTCTAAACCGTATGCATCCAACACCTGAAAAGGCAAAAATGGCCCCGCCATGATGGCAGGCTTCTTTCTGGAGAGGGAGCTGATCCTTTGCCACGAAACCTCCAGTCCAGAAAGATCCAGAAAGCTTCTACTGCAGGTACGTACCCTTGAAGTCTGAAACTCGAAAACATACGTGCTAGAATAGGGTCCAATGTTTAGGGTTAAGGCGCACAACTGCAATTCTACGCGGTCGACGAGAAAAGCAGTCGAAAGACCATTGAACGAGAAGCAAGATTCAGGATCCTGAAGCCTATGAACGAACAACAAATCCCGCAGCCCTCCTTGTCGATCACGGATTCGAGGGTTCCGAAACCAACTTCCCAACCCGAGGACGCACCTTTTGCCGGGAACCCTCAACACTAGGATCAGCCATTGCAGCCTCAGTATACACGACTTCGGTGCGACTCTAAACCCGAATGAAGACAAAGCGGCTAGAACTTCTGTGCCGACGCGCCTGGCAGAGCCCGTTTCTTTCTTGCTCGGGGTTCAAGCAGCCAGGGCGCAGGGCTTCGGGGAAGTTAAGCTCAATGTTGTTTTGCTTATCGGGGTTCAGTTTTGCCTCGCGGGCGCTTTACAGGGTCAAGCGGTTGCATGGCAGGGCAGGGAGCAGATTCTCAAATTGGAAAGACCGGATCCGCACGCTCTTCGCGATGCGGGCACAATCCTAAATCCTACCTTTTCTCTTGAACCCCTAGACCCCCAACCCTCGATCCTAAAACGTGCTCGAACCAGTCGTGCATGCCCGAGTCGGGCGTCGTTGAATCTCAGTGCTGAAATTGTAGCGCTCGAATCGGGAAGAGTTCTCGAATCGCGCATCTACGTTGTGAGCAGTGGTGAGCTATAAATGAATAACTGGTGCCAAGCCGATCTTGCAGGCTTGGGCGTAGCATGATCAGTTAAATGCTAGGACATGGGCCGAAACCTTCAGCACCCTCGAAGCCCTCATCCCTGCAGTTCTTTGCCTGTGGGGATCAGGACTTGGGGGCTTGGAGTGTCGAGTCGTTCGTAAAACCGTGCATGAGGGCGTAGGACAGGGTCTCAAGCTTCGCAGGCCTTATGCTCAAGGAATACCCAAACGGCGTAACAGCGTGCGCTGATCAGAACGGAATCGAGACCGCGAAGTGAAGCAATACGCAAAATTGCTTCCAAGAAAGTCTGCTGCTCATCAAAACCGTCCCTGAAATCATATGATCATCAACCTCGAAGTCTTCAAACACGGAACCGTGGAATTCCAAAGCTTCAGACCCCAGAACCTTCAACGCCGAGAGCGCTGAAGGCTTAACTCCCAAAAGACCTCGGATCCTAAAGCGCAGCCCAGGGGCAGTTCGGGAGGTGACACGGAGATGGCCGTGGGAGGGGTGAACCGAAGCCTCGAAGCAAAAGCGCTTGCTTTTGTTGGGCCAGGGGGATTGGTGGTTCTTTGACGGTTCTACTGGGTTTAAGGGTCTGGGGTTTAGGGTTAAAGGGTTTAGGCTGTACTGTCGGGTTTCGGACATTTAGTGCAACAAAGGGTTTTGAGGCTTAAAGTTTAGCTTGGAGCATTGAGGGCATCTGGCGGGGGAAGGCTACATGTTGGGAATTTTGGGTGTGGGAGCTGTCGGGGATTAGGGCTCAGCATACACCCCGTAGCGTGGTCGTCCGGTAGGTCCATGAAGCCAAATAAATAGTTATAGTCATAGTATGTTGGGTTCCGGTGCTTATGGGAAGAGACTGAAGCTTGGGGCGTTGGAGTCGTGTTGGGGGCCTGTCGGATGAGGAGTGCCTTCAAGTGTGTTCTAGGACAGACCAACGAAGGCTGCCATAGCTCACCACTCCAGGGTCTTAAACCCCAGACACAGAGAGAGAGCGGTGGGAAGTGCAGAAAGAGCCTGTCTGCGGTACAACCGCCCTAAACCGACATCCCACAGCGCCAACCACGAAAAGACCGTACGCCCGTGAGCAGCTGGAAATGACCTTGAACCCTATGTCCCTACACTTAAGGTGCGTCGCTGACTCAGGGTCAATGCTAAACACTGGGCTCTAAGACTCGAGAGCCGAGAAGCCCGAAACCGACCATGTAGGATCCTTAAGAAATTGAAAGTCAGTTGCCATGCAAGAATCCTGGAACTACTGTTACCGTGAACCCCTTACGGCAAAACTCCGAAACCACTCAGACCGCTCGAACCGCTGCAGCGTAATCCTCCTGAATCCCCAAACGATCCACCCCTATATAAATCTTTAAAGCCTACAGCCCCCACAACAACCGCAGCAACACCAAATAAACAACAGCAGCAAAAAGCAACAGCAACAGCAACAATGACATACGTAAGAACCTGATTTCGTTGACAAGGAGCTCAGTAGAGTCGAACTGAAAGAGCCCGAAGTCGTGCACGGGATCCCGGTAGACCTTGCCCGGGCCGTTTTGGGCTGAAGGTATAAGGGTTAGGGTTGGGGGTTTGGGGGCTTGGGATTTTTCGGGCTGAGACCTTGGCGTTTAGGATTGATAACTTGGTTTGGGCTTGGGCTTCAGGCTTCGGGGTGCAAGGGTGTCGATGTCGGGATTAAGGTCTGGGTCACGAGGTTCTAGTTCCAGTTGGAGATGTTGTAAGGACTAATGATCTGGGAAGACTAGACCTCCAGAGCAGGAACAGCGGCCGGCCAAATCGGCAGGTCGTCGTGCTCGTAGAAGGTCGCGCGTGCCCTGATAGGCCCTGTCCTGGGCACGATGGAGATTTCGAATTTACGCACTCCGTTGTTTAGTGTCTTCGTTGCTTGGCTGCTGTTGTTGGGCACCACAATGACAGCTACAATTGTTCTTCGCAGCACCTGACAATATCCGGCAGCATCCTGCTAAGAAGAACTGTGAACTGAATTCGACGCGATTTCCGCATAGCAGGTTCCAGTTAGGAGCTCACCCCCAGACTCTCAATCATGATGCCTCAGGATTGGAGCTTTCATCTAATGTTGTGCTCAATACTCTCTTGGGTTGGGTGCACCCTAAGTGGCTTGTTTCGAGGGTCCCAAGTAATCAGTTCCGCAGGACTGCAAGGTTAGTCTTACCACAAATGTCAAAGTGGCTTGTGTGCACTTTTGCTAGAACCTCGGCTTTCGGAACGATGGATGCAGATTGCGAGCACTGGGACTGTACGTAAAGGGACCATAGCCCTCGGCATCAGCACAACACAAAAGTGCTTCAATACACGCAGCCCTAAAACCTCGATCCTAACTTTGAACAGCCCCTTCACCCGAAACCGGGCCGGGTATCGTAATGATGTGCCGGTTCGTAAGGATCAGGGCTTCCTGTGCGAGGCCACGAAATAAGAGCTAAGGGCTTCGGTGGCATTGCGGCTGAAGCTGTTTCCGGTTTACGGCAGCGCGCGTTGTAATTTAGGACCCCTAGGTTGCAGGGCTCCTGGCGGGGCACAGCGGTTGAGGCATGAAAGCTTGGGGCGCGGGATGGCAAATATAAGATAATATAAGGCAGTAACTTGTAGGCTTCTCAAGAGGGTGACAGCAAGGAGAGCTTATGGCCAGTTAGAAGAAAATAACACACCCAAGCCGCAAATAATCGGTAAGCATAACCTTGAATACTCGGTCCTGGAACTGAAGCCTACATACCTACAACAACACTGCAAGACTACATGACATTCCGCAGTGAAGTGAGTCTTACTCCCAAACAACGCGCCGATTCCTGCCTTTGGGTTCTCCAGGCTCACGACGAAGCCTGTGCCGTCCCACACCCCGGCTGCGCAGTCCTCGTAGGAGCGAACCTGAGAATCCATACGCATCGTCTTGAGTTCTTGCTTGTCCCTAAGCCGACAAACGAAACCCTTATCCCTAAATCCCACGCTTTTCGTATTGTGAGCTCTTGGAGGTCTTGAGCTCGTGCTCTGGGCTGTAACTTTCTAATTTTTGAACTGACACTCATTGCATCCAGAGCGTTACCATTTGGACATCTTGTGCCGACAGCAGTCGACGGCGATGACTTGTCAAGACGGTTCACACGGGATTTGCCTGACCTTGCAAGGAATCCCGTCATACTTTTGTCGCGGTTTAGGCTGCCTTAGCTGGTTAGGATTTGTCATGTCCGAGGAGTGGCACATTCTGATCCGGACGGGTAGCGGAGAAACACGCGCGATCTGTAGACTCTAGACAACAATTCTTGTTTCGTGCCTGTGGCCGATGTCAGCATATCCTTTACAACCTTGCGGGACATGATTCCAACGCGAGTTCATGGACTATGACCGCACGGCAGCCTGCATGGCCGAACATGCCCGTGCGTCCCGGATCGACATCCAATTTGAACACACTGGGTGTTTAAACGCTGAACCCGCACCTCGTGAGTGTAACTTGCCGGCGCTCTCGAACGTACAGAAGGCTCCCAGGATCGTGTGTATCAAACTCACCCAACAATATCGGACCAAGACCTGTTGCTCTGGCATAGGTTCATATACATGGACAAATTAAAAGAGTTTGACAGTGACCTCCGATGTCATTGCTCTAAGGCTTATCAGCACCGTCGTTGGCATAGTTCTCGTGGCGTCATGAACGTCATGTCCGTCATTATTGGCAGCAGCACCAGCACCAGCACCAGCACCAGCACCAGCACCAGCATTGTAACTGCGACCTCCTCATCATCGTCACCAACCATGCCTGCGATACCCGCAACAAGCATCAACCGGCAATCACAATCACCTCTGCAATCACCGCCGCCATCATCATCATCATCATCATCATCATCAGCATCATCATCACCATCATCATCATCACCATCATCACCATCGTGATCACCATCACCATCACCATCGCCATAACCATCACGATCACCATCATCATCATCATCACCACCACCACCACCAACATCATCATCATCATCATCATCATCATCATCATCAACAGCATCATCACCATCCCCATCACCATCATCCTCATCATCATCCTCACCATACATCATATTGTTCGTCTTCGCCGCCATCATCATCACCATCATCATCATCATCATCGTCATCACCATCGCCACCTTGACCGTCACAGCCGTCATCCCCACAATCATGGTAATCATGATTCGCTGTCATCATTCGTATGAGCATCGTCTGCAGCATCGTTATAAACATCTTCATCACATCACAGGCGCTAGCAATAGCCTCATCACCCTTCTTGCCAAAGTACTCAACCCATAAAAGCCTGCAGTCCGCTTGAGCTCCTACACATCAAGCCCTCAACCGTGATTGTAGGAGCGCCAGCAGCAAGAAGCATGCCATAGGCATAGGTTTGCCTAAATAAATGTAGCACAGCACAGCATATCCTAGCAGATCAATTCGAAGCGTTCGCACGGCTAACACAGCCCTTAACCGTAGACAAGTCGCTGCAGTGACCCGGATGGCCACGATTGCATTTTTGACCTGGCCCCAGGCAAGGCGTTGTGGCGAGTATTTAAGAATGCCAAACCCAAAGGGTCAAGGGACTGAAACATCCAGTTGCGGCTTTGTCGACCCGCGGAGCACCAACATAAAAACACACGCAACCCTAAAAACCTACGTCCACCACTCCCGAAGGAAAGCCTCGAAACTCATGCTAGACAACAAACCCAGCCCAAACCCTCGAACTTATATAACGTACCACGCTCTGGTAGACAACATCGCCAGCGGGCGGGGCCGGCTGAGATAGAACCCAGGCTCTTCAATAATCCCAGCAAGCAAGGACCCAGGGGCTGAGGTTCACACACCTGCAGAAGCTGCTCAGGCTAGGTGCGAAGTTTGAAGAGGCTTGAAGGGGCTTTCAAACTAGAGCTCTGTGGTCAAGACATGCGCTGAAAAACCTACCGTTTGGGAGGGGAACCACCTGACCTGGCACTCACCTATGAAACGTCTCGGCATGCTGGCCCTGGTACAACAGCCAGTGCAACACGGGAAACCAAAAGGAATCCAAACAAACTCGCATCTGCTCTTCTGGGATGTGTGTGCAAAAACTGAAGCCACTCTCAATGATTGAAGCTCTTATTCATCGGAAACTTCAAGCTTAGGCTATGGGGCTCAGCCCCAACCTGGAACCCTGACCCCTAAAATATCCCCCAACCATGCAAGCCAACGCCCTGGCCTGGTCAATCACTTCACCCCACTCAGCCGAGATCGCCTCAGCAACACACGATGATGCCTTACAAACGGAAGCAGCTCTCCTTGTGGTTTCCGGGGACTTGTGGTTTCAGAGGGTCCTCGTGAAAGTGAACCCTTGTCCCATAGTTTAGGGTTCAGCCCTTGGGCTGGATTCACTCCCGACTCGTGAAAAGGACCTCCTCGAAGCGAAATCAAGCGAGACGGTTTAGGACCATTAGGCTCGGAATGGTGTGTGTGTGTGTGTGTCTTCTATCGACCGCGTCGAATGTGTACCCACCATTGCTGCTCCCACTGCTACTACCACTACTACCACTACTACTACCACTACTACTACTACTACTACTACTACTACTACTACTACTACCGCTACTACTACGACTACTACTACTACTACGACGACGACTACTACTACTACTACTACGA